GTTTTTCAATGGAATGTCCTATAAATATCAATTAAGTCCATCTTATCTAATGTGTCATTTAAGGCTTGTGTTTCCTAATTTATTTTCATTTTGGATGATCTGTTCATTGGTGAAAGTGTGGTGTTAAAGTCTGCTACTATTGTTGTGTTACTGTGAATTTCCCCTTTTATGCCTGTTAGTATTTGCCTTTTGTATTGAGGTGCTCTTATGTTGGGTACATAAATATTTACAGTTGTTTTCTCTTCTTCTTGGATTGATCCCTTGATCATCATGTAGTGTCCTTCTTTGTCTCTTGTCTGTATTTTAAAGTCTATTTTGTCTGACATGAGAATTCCTCCTCCAGCTTTCTTTGGATTTCCATTTGCATGGAATATCTTTTTCCACCCCTTCAGTTTCGGTCTTTATGTGTCCCTTGGTCTGAAGTGGGTCTCTTGTAGGTAGCTTATATAGGGGTCCTGTTTTTGGATCCGTTCAGCCAGTCTGTGTGTTTTGGTTCGAGTGTTGAATCCATTTACATTTAAGGTAGCTATTGATATGTATGTTCCTATTACCATTTTCTTAATTGTTTTGGGTTTGTTGTTGTAGGGATTTTCCTTCTCTTGTGTTTCTTGCCTAGAGAAGTTTCTTTAGCATGTGATATAAAGCTGTTTTGGTGGTGCTGAATTCCCTTAGCTTTTGCTTGTCAGTAAAGATTTTAATTTCTCCATTGAATCTGAATGAGATCCTTACTGTGTAGAGTAATCTTGGTTGTAGGTTTTTCCCTTTCATCACTTTAAATATGTCCTACCAGTCCCTTCTGGCTTGCAGAGTTTCTGCTGAAAGATCAGCTGTTAACCTTATGGGTATTCCGTTGTATGTTATTTGTTGCTTTACCCTTGCTGCTTTTAGCATTTTTTCTTTGTATTTAATTTTTGATAGTTTGATTAATATGTTTCTTGGCATGTTTCTCCTTGGATTTATCCTGTATGGGATTCTCTGTGCTTCCTGTACTTGATTGACTATTTCTTTTCCCATGTTAGAGAAGTTTTCAACTATAATCCCTTCAAATATTTTCTTAGACCCTTACTTTTTCTCTTCTTCTTCTGGGACTCCTATAATTCTAATGTTCATGTGTTTAATGTTGTTTCAGAGGTCTGTGAGCCTGTCCTCAATTCTTTTCATTCTTTTTTCTTTATTCTGCTCTGTGGCAGTTATTTCCACTATTTTATCTTCCAGGTCACTTATCCATTCTTCTGCCTCAGTTATTCTGCTGTTTATTCCATCTAAAGAATTTTTAATTTCAGTCATCGTGTTGTTCGTCATTGTTTGTTTGCTCTTTAATTCTTCTAGGTCCTTGTGAAAGGTTTTTTGTATTTTCTCCCTTCTGTTTCCAAGATTTTGGATCATCTTTACTCTCATTACTTTGAATTGTTTTTCATGTAGACTGCCTATTTCCTCTTCATTTGTTTGGTCTGGTGTGTTTTTACATTGCTCCTTCATCTCATGCATTTTTCTCTGTTTTCTCATTTTTTTTTTAACTTACTGTGTTTGGGGTCTCCTTTTTGCAGGTTGCCGGTTTGTATTTCCCGTTGTTTTTGGTGTCTGCCCCCAGTGGATGAGGTTGGTTCAGTGGCTTCTGTAGGCTTCCTGGTGGAGGGGACTGGTACCTGTGTTCTCGTGGGTGGGACTGGATCTTGTCTTTCTGCTGGGCAGAGCCATGCCCAGTGGTGTGGTTTGGGTTGTCTGTGAACTTTGTATGATTTTAGGCAGCCTCTCTGCTAATGGGTGTGTTTGTTTTCCTGACTTGCTAGTTGTTTAGCATAGGGTGTCCAGCACTGTATTTTGCTGGTTGTTCAGTGGAGCTGGGTCTTTGCATTGAGATGGAGATCTCTGTGAGAGCTTTCACTGTTTGATATTAAATCGGGCTGGGAGGTCTCTGGTGGTCCAATGTCCTAGACTTGGCTCTCCCACCTCTGAGTCTCAGGCCTGACACCCAGGTGGAACACCAAGACCGTGTCAGCCACATGGTCGTTTCTGTGCTGCTTCCCTGCCAGGAGTGTCCCAATGTGGTGACCAACTCAGTCTCCAACTTCCCTTTCCTCAGGGTGGGCTCATTGTTTCTTTTTCCTTGTGTTTTTGTCTTCTGTTTTTGTTTGGTCGCTTTCTATTGTATTTTTCTCAGTTTCCTCATTTTGTTTTGTGTCTCCATTCTAGATTTATGTTTTGTAATTAACATGAAGTTTGTATCAAATGTCACATAAATAAATAGTTTTTTCTGCTGATAGCATCTTATCTTCATTTAACTGTATGGTTTTCCTCTTCCCCTTTTGTGTTTTTGTTGTCTCAAGCTTTCCCTTTTTACATTGTAAGTTTGTTACCAAATTGAAATAGCTATAGATATTTTTTCTTCATTTTCTCCCTTTTTTAACCTTTATACTGTAATAAAGTGTTTAAGAACCTTTTCTGATAAATAGTTGCAATTTTCTGATTCTTTCTGTCTATCACCTTACTCCAAGTTTTGTGTACTTTTGTCTTTGTTTCTGGTGTATGACCTCTGTTCAACATCTCTTGTAAGGCAGGTCTAGTGTTGATGAACTCCCTCAGCTTTTGTTTGTCTGTGAAAGTCTTTACTTCTCCTTCATATCTGAATGATAACTTTGGTGGATACAGTATTCTTGGGTGACAACTTTTATCTTTTAGTATTTTGATAATGTCATTCCATTCCCACCTGACCTGTAGAGTTTCTGCTTAGAAATCTGCTGATAGCCTAATTTGGGTTCCTTTGTAGTTTACCATTTTTTTCTCCCTGGCTGCCTACATAATTGTTTGTCATAGACTTTTGGCAGTTTTAATATGTGTCTTGGAGAAGGTCTTTTTGCATTGAGGTAATTAAGTGTTCTCTTAGCTTCATGGACTTGTCTGTCCAGTTCCTTCCACAGTTTAGGAAATTCTCAGCTATTATTTGTTTAAATAAACTCTCTGCTCCCTTCTCCCTCTTTTCTCCTTCGGTGATGTCCATTATCCTAATGTTGCCCTACTTAAGAGTCAGATAGCTCTTGTAGAATTTCCTCATTTTTTTGCATCTTATTTTTCTTTCCTCTTCTACTTGTATCTTTTCTAGATTTCTATCTTCATACTCACTAATTCTTCCATATGGTCTGCCTTATTTCCAGTGCTTTCTAATGCATTCTTTATCTCATTTACTGAGTTTTTCAGCTGCAGAATTTTAGTTCTTTTTTTTAGTTTCAACCTTTTTGGTAAAGCATTCCTATTTATTAATTTTATTCCTGAGCTAATTGATGTGCCTTTCTGAGTTTTCATGTAGCTTGTTGAATTTCTTCATGACAGCTATTTTAAATTCTCTATCAGATTACATTATTATGTGACTTTAACTTTGGTTTCTGGAGAATTGTCATTTTCTTTTTTTGGTGCGGTGTTACTGTGCTCCTTCATGGTACTTCCTTCTGCCAGAGCATTTGAAGTGAGATAAGTTAGAAATTAGGGGTCTTTTCTTTTTCCATAGGTGGTACTATAGCACAAGCTTTTGTTTTCTCTTACCTGAGTGTGCCCCCTGTCCCAACTCTCATTATCACTTCTGGTGTTTTCTTGGTCATTGGCACCTTGCTTCTGCCTTTGTCACTGGCAGAAGCTGCCTGGTTCACCTGGATGGTGGGTTCTTCCCTTGCTTCCAGGATCCTCTGAGTCACAGGCTCACAGGCTCAGGCATCGCAGGGGGAAGGGGTGGGGGGGAGCCAGGGTCATACCAGTGCCTCTTCCCTATCTGGTTTTCTAAGGTTCTTAGGCTCTGCCACTGCTGGTGAGAGAGCAGAGGGGCTGGAGACTTGGGCACCTCAGTGGCTGGAGGGACAGGGCCGCAGGCCCCATTCCCACTGCTGTACAGTTAGATGTGGCCATGGGTGCCACTGAAGCCAGGAGGCTGGTGTTCTGTGTGCTGTCTGCTCTGCTGCTACCAGGTTCTCTGGGGCTGCAGGCTTAGCTGCCATGGCCAGAGGGCCAGGATTATAGGCACTACCTCTACTGTTCCTTCAGTTCTGCCTCCTCTATCTGTTCCAGTCCATCCATCTTTAGATATACAGGTATGTGGAATTCTCTAACATCCTGGTGTGTTGGACAAAAGTACCTTTGTTGAGTTGTGAATGTTTTACTGGTTGTAGATTGAAGGGGAGAGACAGAGGTAGCTTTTCATTCCACCATGTTGTTGATGCCAGCCCTTGATTTCTTTGTTTAGGACAGAACACTACTGTATTCATCTATCCAGCTGGCAGTTGAGAATTTCTTGGGAAGCAGCACACAGCCTAAGGAGCAAAGAGCAACATTCTGCTAAAAAGTTAACTTGGAGCCATTTTCATATAGTTTAGAGTGTTTGACTATTTATTTATTCAGTAAATATTCATTGAGCAACTACTCTGTGGGAAGCTCTGTGCTAAAAGCTGGGAAACAATGTCAAACTGTAACAGACATGGTCCTTACCTTCATGGAGCTTGCCGTCTAGGGGATTGAATGCTATTAATTAAAAACTCACAAATATGTATAATATCACACTTGTGGTGAGTGTTAAAAATAAAACCAATGTGTTAGTATAATTGCCTATGGTGACTAGATTTGCCTAAGTCAGTGAGGTCAGGGTTAGTTTCTGTGAGGAAGTATGAATTGAACTGAAATCCAGTGGAACAAGTAGGAGTTAATTAGGTATAAAAGTAAGGGGATAGCATGTGAGACAGAGTGGAAAGCATGTGTAAAGGCCCCTCGGTGGATAGACCATGGGCCACTAGAACTGAGGGAAGGTCAAAGTATATTTGGAACACAAGGAGAGGAGCAAAAGGTAGCACAAGATGTGCTTAAGAAGTAAGAAGGTGAGGCCATCCTAATTTGCTATCATTTTCCCTTTAATTTGAAGCTTTAGGATTATCTTTCACACTGATTAAGCCAACAAAAATAGATCGTAAATAGGAGTGATTAAGTGATGACTTGCTTATTACCTAGATTTTTTTTCCTACTAGACAGGACACCTTCATGGAAAACTATTTCACCAGCCAACGAGACAACATCTTCCGTAATGTGGAGGTTCTGATTTATGTCTTTGATGTGGAAAGCCGCGAACTGGAAAAGGACATGCACTATTACCAGTCATGCCTGGAGGCCATTCTGCAGAATTCTCCAGATGCCAAAATCTTTTGCTTGGTGCATAAAATGGATCTGGTACAGGAGGATCAACGAGACCTGGTAAGAAATAGAATGGGTGGTGCACCAAATAATTAACATACTTTGTAGACTTCTTCTGTAGAGATATAGGTAAATTTGTACCATTCTTTTTTTTTTTTTTTTTTTTTTTTTTTTTTTTTGCTGTACGCAGGCCTCTCACTGCTGTGGCCTCTCCCGTTGCGGAGCACAGGCTCCGGACGCACAGGCTTAGCGGCCATGGCTCATGGGCCCAGCCACTCCACAGCATGTGGGATCCTCCCAGACCGGGGTATGAACCCGCGTCCCCTGCATCAGCAGGCGGACTCCCAATCACTGTGCCACCAGGGAAGCCCCAAAGCTTTTTTTGTTTGTTTGTTTTTTGCGGTACATGGGCCTCTCACTGTTGTGGCCTCTCCCGTTGCAGAGCACAGGCTCTGGATACGCAGGCTCAGTGGCCATGGCTCACGGGCCTAGCCACTCTGTGGCATGTGGGATCCTCCCAGACTGGGGCACGAACCCGTGTCCCCTGCATCGGCAGGCGGACTCTCAACCACTGCGCCACCAGGGAAGCCCTGTACCATTCTTTTTTAGGAAGAAAAAATCCCAGCATAAGCTTTCAAAATAAAGTTGACGTTTGTTTTTAAAAACACTTATAAACAGGGCTTCCCTGGTGGCACAGTGGTTGAGAGTCCGCCTGCCGATGCAGGGGACACGGGATCGTGCCCCGGTACGGGAAGATCCCACATGCCGTGGAGTGGCTGGGCCCGTGAGCCATGGCTGCTGAGCCTGCGTGTCCGGAGCCTGTGCTCCGCAACGGGAGAGGCCACAGCAGCGTACTGCAAAAAAAGCAAAAACAAAAACAAAAAAAAACACTTATAAACAAATGTTCCATGGTAAGGGAAATATAATGTTCATTTAGCAAATAATTTTCAAATTTAGGAAAGGATCCTGACTGTGTGTTATCACTAAGCAGCTTTATGTACTTTTAAAATATATTTGATACCACTGTTTTACTGTCCTTCAGAGCAGGCAGTTATTGTCAAGGTTAGAAGACCCACCAGGGGTGAGATAAAGAAAGGGCATAGCTGTCACTAGGTTGACCTAGGAAACTGGTATGCACCAATTCAAATGCCAACTATACTGTGTTAGGCACAATACCAAGGCCCTCATAATTGCACTGATATGGTATATTTATCTTCTTTTGTAGCATGGGAGTTAGTACACATAAATTTAAACAAGAAAAGGCACAGTAGAAAGGGCAAACCCCTAGCTAGCTATGAGATCCCAGGACTGGCAAGTCACAGATAGAGTCTAGCTTTAGTTTGCTCCATATAAAATAAGAGGATTGGATTTTAAAGTCTAAGCTGAAAGAGAAGATCCTCTATTTCCAAGGGTAAAGTTGAGGAAAGCAGTTTTAGAATATACTGGTGATGTAGAAGAATACAGTTCCTCTTTGGGTTGGAACCTAGGAGTCTAAGGATCCCCTTTAACTTAAGAATTTTTCGGTAATGACTTAAGAATTTTTTGGTAATAACTGTGGTCAGGAATACTTTTTTTTCTCATAATTAGTTACAGGATTGCCTTCAGTGTTCCAGTATTTGAGTATGTTTTCGTGTTTCTAGGTTAGCTTACAGGCTTTCAGAAACCACTTGACAGGGTTCCGTATTTGACTCTGAAAAGGACTTTTGAGTATTCTTTTTAATTCCTTCTCCCTCTCACTAAATATCAATTCTGTTTTAATTCAGCAGAAAATTCTGTATGTAGCTTGATCTTGAGCTTGTGAGCGGTTTGTTATTATTACTGTTTTTTGTTTTGTTTCCCTGGCCCAATCTGCAACAGAAAAACTTAGAGCATTCTAATAAATGACCTCCTTATGGATTTTTTAATTACTTGTAATTTTTAGTGATAGACATATTGTTTTCTAAATGCTTATGTAAATATCCCCAAAGATACATTAATGTTCTTTGTGGGATTTTAAGCTTAATTAAGAAAAGTATACTCTATTTCATTAAACTTTCAGACTTGGAGGTTTTGGAATAAAATGGCTAGTGTGCTTCCCTGAATATCAGTTTCAAGCAAGATAGGTGTTTCTCTCTATGTGTGTGTGTATTAGTCAGGGTTCCTCAGAGAAACAGAACCAATAAGAAGTGTGTGTGTGTGTTTGTGTGTGTGTGTGTGTGTGTGTGTGTAGAGAGAGAGAGAGAGAGAGTGAGAATAAGAGAGAGACTGATTAATTTTAAGGAATTAACTCATATGATTGTGGAGGCTGGCAAGTCCGAAATCTGCAGGGCACACTGATAGGCTGGATACCCTTGTTGCAGCTTGAGTCAGAAGGCAGTCTGGAAGGCTGAATTCCCTCTTCCTGGGGAATGGCAGTCTTTTTCTCTTAAGGCCTTCAACTGGTTATATAAAGCTTACCCATATTATGGAGGGGGATCTGCTTTACTAAAAATCCACTGATTTAAATATTAATCTCATCTAAAAAATACCTTCATAGCAACATCTAAATTGGTGTTTAACCAAATGGGTATTGTGGCCTAACCTAGTTGTTGCATAAAATTATCCATCACAGTGTGAACAGTGCACTCACTATAAGCCCACCCAGTCCTGGAAAATATCTGTGTATGTGTTTATATTTGTATAAATAGATATTTTTCCATGTATATATGGGCATATATATAGATAGATACATAGCCAAGAAGAATAGATATTTGTGTGTAAGGGGTTGTTATATCTATGTAGCCAAATAAATACAGTCCATACAGAATATGTGTATGCATGTGTGTATGAGAGTAAGATATCTACAAAAAGTTGAAGTATTTTGATTTATAAAATCTTGATATTGGTATGCATATCTTAAAAATGACCCAGATTGGATTATTTGGAATGTTAGATATATTTTATTAAGATTCCTCTGTATGGTAAATTGTATTTTCCAGCATAGTGTTCTCAGTGGGTACTCAAAACAAGCAGTACAGTCCTGAAGAATTCTAGTAGTCGTTGTACTTTGTAGACCTGACTTGAAATCATTTCTGCCATCCTAGTCTGTAAAGTAACGTACACATTTAAAAATTCCTCTGAGGAAAAACGAAATGCCCCTGTTTAAAATATGCTAAAATATTACACCTCAGATCTTGCAGTGAGAGAGGAGAGCTGTTAGTTATATGCTGATCAGTATGTTGGTCTATTTACTTCAGATTTTTAAAGAGCGAGAAGAAGATCTGAGGCGTTTGTCTCGCCCATTGGAATGTTCTTGCTTCCGAACATCTATCTGGGATGAAACTCTCTATAAGGTGTGTATGTTTCCCTGAGTTCTCTCATTTAAAGAGCATGAAAACAAAGCTAGAAGGGTATTATCAAAACTAAAAGATTTTAAACTCTTTCATAGCCATCTAGATGTGTTGAACCAAAAGAAGAAATAATCTACAATAAATTGTTTGAAAAATACCCAATTTAACCTTAAGAAATTTTGGGTTTGATCTTAGATTGGGTCGACATACCAGATCACACTGAATTAACCCAGTTTGGTCCTGATTAATTTGATACAGATCTTCATGACAGTAGAGGTTTCACTGGCCATCATCCATTTTGACCTGTTGTGGTCTCAGTGCTGACTGGAATTGTATCTAATATTCAGGTACCACTACAGGATATAAGCTAGTCTGCCTAAGTTTGGATGGCAATAGAAGAACAATATTTAGGGGAGAGATTGGAGAAGGGAGTCTTAGAATGGGATATGTTATTTCTAGAGTATGATAGCTTCAACTTTCATGCCAAATTAGAGACTAGCATTCTTTCAACCAGAGAGATTGTTCCCATTGGTGGAATGGATGCCACACTGCTTGTAGTAGTTGTAGAGGTTACAAACAATAGCTGTGTTATGGATGAAGCTGAAATTACCTTATTGGCACATAGGCTCCTTATCCTGCTTCCTCCCTTTCTCCCACTGATTTAGTGATTTGAAAGACTGGCTCCTTTTGGGTCCTCCTGTGGTCAGACTGCTTTTGGTATCCATTGACAAGTCTGGGTAGGAAAGCATCCTTCTCTGTGACTTGTAGCTACAGCCTCAGTATCAACTCCATCTGACAAGTATCTACAACCAAAAGCACAGAAACCTGATTTGCCAAGGAGAAAAACAATTGGACTTTAAACATAGCCACTAATTTATTTTTTTAACTATTTCATTTTTTCCCCAATATGTTGACCCAGCCTCGCTCTAATAACAGATCATTTTGAGATACCTATCTAGGAAATACTGTTCTAGATTAATTTGGGCCGAATTTCTCTCAAAGCCTTATTCCCATAGAACAGGTAACCGTGAATAAGGATGGACATGACGCACTGATAAGAACCAACTGCGGTGTGAAGGATGGCAATACATAACACGACCAAAGACAATTGGCTAATCACAACACTGCTGTGAGTGACAATGTCTCTGCTGTGGTTAGCTTTGGTGCCTTCTCCAAGGTAAATTCAGCAGTGACATTAACACCGACCTGGGAACTTGGAACCTGAACCCCCATGCCTAAGTAATAAAACTAATTGGAACAGAGACATGGCTCTACTCTCTCTTACATCAATATTGCATAGAGCTGACATAAATTTTTATATTAAGTTTTATTCTACAAGCACTCATTGCAATCTGCTTGATGCTGTTGGACGCACAGATGGCTAAGACCAGGTTCCTGCCCTCTAGTAGGGGAGAGAAGAACATTGTACACCTTACCAGACAAATTGGAGCGAAATTGAAAGAAATATTATAATGAAAATTCAAATAAAAGAGCCTTAAGAGAATAGAGGGAGGGTGTGGTTAATTTCAACTCCTTATTTTAGTCATACTCCTCTGGATGAAGTCAGTTTTAGGCAAACACGCAGTGGACTGTTTTTAATTCAATTGGATCAATAATTTATAAAGCTGGCAATAAGCCTTTTGGAATGATAATGCCACTAATTTCTCTTGTAATTTCTATTGTATGTTATCCCATTGAGGGGAGCGGCCATTTTTCTACGTGGCTGTGATATTTTCATAAAATTGATTCTTAGATGTATGTTAAATATAGCATTATTAGGTTCTGATCTTTAGAGCAATCTACACTATTGGACTTACATATCTGTTTGAATGGCTGGATTAGAAGTTCTTTAGCCCAGTATATCAGAGTTTTCAACTTCCCTAAGGCAATATGATGGAATTAAATATTTGTTTATTTTTAATTATCAATGGAAAGGAGTATTTTACGAAAGTGTTTGAAACTTTAAAAAATCCAACTGAAGGATAAAAATCAAATATTATCTTCATTTTCTCACTTCGTTTCTGTTATACTTGTTGCCAGAATTTGTTTGGGACTCAATTATCACCATATTTTGCTGTCTGTATGTTATAGTATACTTACTCATTTGCAAAGATCTGGGACTGGCTACCTGTTAGTAATATTACACTGTGCTTCTGTTCTGTTAGGCTTGGTCCAGCATTGTTTATCAGCTGATTCCCAATGTTCAGCAGCTGGAAATGAACCTAAGGAATTTTGCTGAAATTATTGAGGCTGATGAAGTGCTTCTATTTGAGAGAGCCACTTTTCTGGTGAGAACTTTCTGCTCTGCAGATGTACTTCACACTCACCTTCTTCTATTCAGCAATGGAGAATACGTTGCCACTTTCAGAAAGAACCTTTTTCCCTCTTGTCATTACTTCACCATGCATAGCCTTATTTATAAAGTAGTATTGTCAGCAAGTAACTTGAAAGAAGTTCTTTGGTGCGTGGATCTTTAGTAATTAGTAAAACTTAGATGTTTGCAGGTAAGCCTTACTATAGAGTTTAGATTATTTTTGTGAATAATTGTTCATTTGTGTTAAAGAATTCCTATTTCCTATTGACTTTTATTATGAAATGATGGGTATTTTTCTTTGAGTTTAAAGCTTTTAACATGGAAGAGATGTAATGGTCAACTCAGTGACGTAGCTAAGAGTTCAGATGGGGAGGTGAAAGGGCAAAGAGGTATGTTGGTATTTTTATTTTTCTTATAAATTCGGCTTAACAATGATATTAGCACCTACTGTGTATTTGGCCATGAGGGGGTATGCAAAACCCAATATTATATTTATAAGTAAAATTTTAAAATAACTAATAAAAATTGGCTTGAGCTGTCACAAAGCACTGCTTAAGTAATTGCTGATCAGCTTAATAAATATAGCTCTAAGAGCAGCTTACAGTAAGTAATTGGTTTCTGAGCTCTACCAGTGCTTCATGATTTTAGACACATTTATTGCTTTTTTTGTTTTTTACATACACATGTATCCTTTTTCAAATTCTTTTCTCATTTAGGTTATTACAGAATATTGAACAGAGTTCCCCATGCCATACAGTAGGTCCCTGTTGGCCATCTATTCTAAATATAGAAGTGTGTACATCTCAATCCCAAACTCCCAATCTATCCCTACCCCCACCCTTCGCCCCGGGCAACCACAAGTTCCTTCTCTAAGTCTGTGAGTCTGTTTCTGTCTTGTAAACAAGTTCATTTGTATCATTTCTCTTGGATTCCACATATAAGCAATATCATATGATATTTGTCTTTCTTTGTCTGACTTACTTCACTTACTATGATAATCCCCAGGTCCATCCATGTTGCTGCAAATGGCATTATTTCATTCTTTTTAATGGCTGAGTAATATTCCATTGTATATATGTACCACATATTCTTTATCCATTCATCTGTTGATGGAAATTTAGGTTGCTTCCTTGTCTTGGCTATTGTAAATGGGGCTGAAATGAACATTGGGGTGCATGTATCCTTTCAAACCATGTTTTTCTCTGGATATATGCCCAGGAGTGGGATTCCTGGATCATATGGTAGCTCTAATTTTAGTTTTTTAAGGCACCTCCATACTGTTCTCCACAGTGGCTGTACCAATTTACATTCCCACCAACAGTGCAAGAGGGTTCCCTTTTCTCCACACCCTCTCCAGCATTTATTGTTTGTAGACTTTTTGATGATGGCCGTTCTGACTGGTGTGAGGTAGTACCTCATTGTAGTTTTGATTTGCATTTCTATAATAATTACTAATGTTGAGCATCTTTTCATATGCCTCATGGCCATCTGTATGTCTTCTTTGGAGAAATGTCTGTTTAGGTCTTCTGCCCATTTTTTTATCCGGTTGTTTGTTTTTTTTTCATACTGAGCCACATGAGTTGTTTGTAAATTTTGGAGATTAATCCCTTGTCTGCTACATCATTTGCAAATATTTTCTCCAATTTGATGGATTGTCTTTGCACTTTCTTTATGGTTTCCTTTGCTGTGCAAAAGCTTTTGAGTTTAATTAAGTCCCATTTGTTTTTTGTTTTTTTGTTTTTTAATTTCCATTACTCTAGACGTGGATTGAAAAAGATCGTGCTGCAATTTATGTCAGAGTGTTCTGCCTATGTTTTCCTCTGAGAGTTTTAGAGTATCCAGTCTTACATTTAGATCTTTAACCCATTTTGAGTTTACTTTTGTGTATGGTATTAAAGAATGTTCATATTTTTTACATGTAGCTATCCAGTTTTCTAGCACTATTTATTGAAGAGACTGTCTTTTCTCCATCATATAGTCTTGCCTTCCTTGTCATAGGTTAATTGACCATGGTGCATGGGTTTATTTCTGGGCTTTCTATCCTATTCCATTGATCTATATTTCTGTTTTCGTGCCAGTTCCATACTGTTTTGATGACTTTAGCTTTGTAGTATAGTCTGAAGTCATGGAGCCTGATTCCTCCAGTTCCGTTTTTCTTTCTCAAGATTGCTTTGGCTATTCGGGGTCTTTTGTGTCTCCATACAAATTTTAAGATTTTTTGTTCTAGTTCTGTGAAAAATGCCCTTGGCAATTTGATAGGGATTGTATTGAATATGTAGATTGTCTTGGGTAGTATAGTCATTTTGACAATATTGATTCTTCTAATCCAAAAACATGGTATTTCTTTCCATCTGTTTCTGTCATCTTTGATTTCTTTCATCAGCATCTTATAGTTTTTTGAAGTACAGGTCTTTTGCCTCCTTAGGTAGGTTTATTTCTAGGTATTTTATTCTTTTTGCTGCACTGGTAAATGGGATTGTTTCTTTAATTTCTCTTTCTGATCTTTCATTGTTAGCGTATAGAAATGCAAGAGATTTGTGTATTAATTTTGCATCCTACAACTTTACCAAATTCATTGATGAGTTCTAGTAGTTTTCTGGTAGCATCTTCAGGATTTTCTGTGTATAGTAGTATCATGTCATCTGCAGACAGAGACTGTTTTACTTCTTTTCCAATTTGGATTCCTTTTATTTCTTTTTCTTCTCTGATTGCCATGGCTAGGACTTCCAAAACTATGTTCAGTAAAAGTGGTGAGAGTGGATACCCTTGTCTTGTTCCTGATCTTAGAGGAAATGCTTTCAGCTTTTCACCATTGAGTATGATGTTAGGTTTAGGTTTGTCAAATATGGCCTTTATTATGTTGAAGTAAATTTTCTCTGTGCCCACTTTCTGGAGAGCTTTTATCATACATGGGTGTTGAATTTTGTTAAGAGCTTTTTCTGCATCTATTGAGGTGATCATATGGTTTTTATTCTTCAGTTTGTTGCTGTGGTGTATCACACCAATTGATTTGGGGATATTGAAAAGTCCTTTCATCCCTGGGATAAATCCCACTTGATCATTGGGTCTGATCCTTTTAATGTATTGTTGGATTCGGTTTGCTAGTGTTTTGTTGAGGACTATTTTTGCATCTATGTTCACCAGTGACATTGGCCTGTAATTTTCTTTTTTGGTGGTATCTTTGTCTGGTTTTGGTTATCAGGGTGATGGTGGCCTCATAGAATGAGCTTGCAAGTTTTCCTTCCTCTGCAATTTTTTGGAATAGTTTCAGAAGGATAGGTGTTAACTCTTCTCTAAATGTTTGATAGAATTCACGTGTGAAGCCATCAGGTCCTGGACTTCAGTTTGTTGGGAGTTTTTTAATCCCAGTTTCAATTTAATTCTTGTAATTGATCTGTTCATATTTTTTGTTTCTTCCTGGTTCAGTCTTGGGTGATTGTACCTTTCTAAGAATTTGTCCATTTCTTCTAGGTTGTCCATTTTATTGGCATATAGTTGCTTGTAGTAATCTCTCATGATCCTTTGTATTTCTGTGGTGTCTGTTGTAGCTTCTCCTTTTTCATTCCTAATTGTATTGATTTGAGTCCTCTCCCTTTTTTCCTTGATGAGTCTGTCTAAAGGTTTATCCATTTTGTTTATCTTTTCAAAGGACCAGCTTTTAGTTTCATTCATCATTTCTGTTGTTTTCTTTCTATTTCATTTATTTCTGCTCAGATCTTTATGGTTTCTTTCCTTCTATTAACTTTGTGTTTTGTTTGTTCTTCTTTCTCTAGTTGCTTTAGGTGTAAGTTTAGGTTGTTTGAGATTTTTCTTGTTTCCTGAGGCAAATTATGTTGCTATAAATTTCCCTCCTAGAACTGCTTTTGGGGTATCGCATAGGTTTTGGATCCTCATGCTTTCATTTTCACTTGTCTCTATGTACTTTCTGATTTATTTGATTTCTTCAGTGATCCATTGGTTGTTAAGTAGCATATTGTTTAGCCTCCATATGTTTATGTATTTTACAGCTTTTTCCTTGTAGTTGATTTCTAATCTCATAGTGTTGTGTTTGGGAAAGATGCTTGATATGATCTCAGTTTTCTTAAATTTACTGAGGCTTGCTCTGTGGCCCAGCATGTGATCAATTCTGGAGAATGTTCCATGTGTACTTGAGAAGAATGTGTATTCTGCTGCTCTTGGATGGAATGCTCTAAATACCAATTAAGTCCATCTAGTCTAATGTGTCATTTAAGGCCTGTGTTTCCTTACTGATTTTCTGTCTGAATGATCTTTCCATTGATGAACATTGGGTGTTAAAGTCCCCCAGTATGATTGTGTTACTGTTGACTTTTCTTTTTATGGCTGTTAGTATTTGCCTTATATATTGTGGTGCTCCTATGTTGGGTTCATATATATTTACAATTGTTATGTCTTCTTCTTGGACTGATCCCTTGATTATTATGTAGTGTCCTTCTTTGTCTCTTGTAACATTCTTTATTTTAAACTCTATTTTGTTAATATGAGTATTGCTACTCTAGCTTTCTTTTGATTTCTGTTTGCATGGAATGCATTTTTCCATCCTCTTACTTTCAGTTTATATGTGGCCCTAGATCTGAAGTGGGTCTCTTGTAGACAGCATATATATAGTAGACACATATCTTAATCTCTCTGAGTTTGGTTCCCCTTTTATAAAATGGAGATAATAATATCTATATCATAGGTTTATTGTGTGGATTAAAATGGGACAAGGTAACATTAAGCCCTAGCACAAAGTTTAGCATACAGTTGGCAAACTGTTTAACGTTGATTTCTTTTGCTATTGCAGCCAACAGAGGGCAGAGAATTCAAAGTGCAATTTTTTCTCCTTCCTTTGTGGAAACATTATTTTTAATGGTAGTATATTTGGGAGTCATCCTTCCTGCTAACTGGTACAGCTGAGGCAAGGAGTCCTAACTAGAGTGTCTTTCTACCTCAGCCCATAGGCAGGGATCACTTGCTTGGAAGTTCACTACCCTGAGCCCTGTCTTTCCTGCTAGTGGTAATAGCAACAAGCAGGTGAGCTCTTCTGTCTATCTTGAGACATGTGGCATGGTAGAATCCTGCTTCAGCAGTATTCTCCTGCCACATCTACCACACATGATCATAGAGGTTAACCTAATATAAACTCTGTTTTTCACTGGCAGTAACAAATAGCTTTTGCTTTCTCTTGAGGACTAAGTTTAGTTGTGATTGACCATTTTCACTGTAGCTCTTGAAGTCAATCAACAGGAACCTATTCCACCATTGGTCTAGGAATTATGTTTTGAAATTTTCACATGGTTTCAGGGAATTGCCCTGTGAATTTTCTTCTGGCAAATGACTCAGTTTTGCTTCCTACTAGAAACTTTACATCAGCCTATGGGAAATACTTGTGTGGTTTTATTAATCTGAAAGTGTTAGGGGAAGTATTTTCAGCTGGCATTGGTATCCATCATGAATAGGTTCATTTATAAATAGTAAATCCTCAGAGGTCAGAATTGTTCAGTTAAGATTTTTAAATATGATACCAAAACCCACTTGGTTATAGACTTCATTAAAATTAAATATGTTAAGTACACCTCAGCAACAGCTAAGAGGGACTTCCCTGGTGGTCCAGTGGTAAAGAATCCACCTTCCAGTGCAGGGGATGCAGGTTCAGTCCCTGGTCGGGGAACTAAGATCCCATGTGCCACGGGACAACTAAGCCTGTGCACCACAAATACTGAGCTTGCACACCTCAACTAGAGAGCCTGCATGCTGCAAACTACAGAGCCCACACGCCCTGGAGCCCACGTGCCACAAATAGAGAGAGGCCTGAGTGCCGCAATGAAGAGCCTGCATGCCACAGCAAAAAGATCCCACATGCCTTAACGAAGATCCTGTGTGCCTGCAATTAAGACCCGACACAACCAAAATAAATAAACAAATAACTAAATAAAATATTAAAAAAAGAACAGCTAAGAATTTTTATTTTTCCTTTTTGATTTGTACTTTTTTAGAATCAAAGACCATCGTATTGAAATAAGATGAATATTTAATGATTAAAGTAAGTGAGAAAGGACAGCAGTGAACCAAAATAGATAATACAATACTTAAATGATCTAATAAAATTATAACCAAACAGTACTGGATGGGTCATCCGTAGGGATGTTGAAATTATGCAGATGTTGACAGGATATGGGACAGAGGAATAGAGGCAGTAAAGCCAGGTGCCAAGTCTACCCTGAAAATCAGGGTGACCAAGAGACTGACAAATGTATTGCCTTGAAGAGTAGTAGAGGGTGATATGACAGCACTGCATGGATTTAAAGGGCATTGCTCTTTTTCATAGGTGATTTCTCACTATCAATGTAAAGAACAGCATGATGTCCACAGATTTGAGAAAATCAGCAACATTATTAAGCAATTTAAGCTGAGCTGCAGGTAAGAGATCTTATGTGATGTATTTATCTCTGGAACAAATTGTCATTTTTTGAGAGGTTCAAATAACTATAGTAGACTGCACTTCTATATTCAGCATACTACTTTATATTAAAAATAAAGCTAAACTCTAAGGGAGCCTACAGTTGACAGAAGTGAAAGACATCTTTAATGCAAAGTCAGCTGATGCAGAAGAAGCATATGAAAAATATCTAAGCAGAGTACCCCTTCAAGATGTTTGATATTATTTGGGAAAAAAATAAACAGAAACTGTCCAAGAGAGTTTTGAAAAACAAGAAAGGAGAATTTACCCTACCAAATACTAAGATTTACTAGAAAACTATGGTAATTAAAATAGTGAGGGACTGATTCAAGAATGGTACAAAGTAGAGAGTCTAGAAATATCTGATCATATTGTCTCAGCTTTGTTTAAATACAATTTGAATCTTAGCATTGTGAATATAGGAAGAAGGAATGGCTGAACATCATAATCTAGTAAAGATTTAATAATCAAAATTCTTATCCTGGTAAAACTTTGATGCCCAGACAATAGAATAAGTGTAATTTTTTACCTTTTATGTCATAGCACACTTTGAGACTTTCTGGCATGTTTATTCTAACATTTTTAAGAAGAAATAGCAAATGGCATATAAATATCATTACCCTTTTTGTTTTCAAAGAAATGGGATCATTTCTAGAATTTCAGCATAACTAACATTCAAAAGATACAGTTATTAATCTCAATGATAGGGAAATTTCAACTGAATAAACTTCTTAAATATTAGAGAAATCTTTGGTAACATGATTTTTAATATGAATCTAGGTCTAAGCCCACTTTTCGTTTCACAGTCAGTATCAAGTCCTAATCCACTTTCTAAGTCACTTTCCAGCACGTGTTAAATTTGTCATTAGAGTTTCCTTGGAAAGTAAAGTGGGATTAGTGATTAACTGTCTTAATGAGGTGGTGGATTGAGATATAATGCTATGAAAATGTTTAACGTGAAAAATAAGAATGTCTTATGTTGCTATTATTTTACGTTCTTGACTCACTTTTCTCCTTTCTCCTATAGCAAGCTGGCTGCCTCTTTCCAGAGCATGGAAGTCAGGAACTCTAACTTTGCTGCTTTCATTGACATCTTTACATCCAACACTTATGTGATGGTCGTGATGTCTGATCCATCCATTCGTAAGTTTAAACTTAGCTGACGTAGGTTCAAAGCCACGTATTTTTTAAGCTAATTTCCCTAGAGGTAGTACATTATTAAAGATACGGAAAAGCTATTTAGTAGTGCACAACACTGTGAATGTACTTAATGCCACTGACCTATACATTTGAAAATGGTTAAAATGGTAAATTTCATTTTATGTGCATTTTACAACAATGAAAAAAAAATTTAGTACTAGTGGTAAATACTTTTTATTTAATAGACATATTTTGAAACTTAAAGATAATTTAGACTCTAGGGTATTATATCTTCTTCATGGGAACTTTAAAAATTACTTATGTATAGTTACTACATCTAAGGATTTTAAAGAAAAAGAACCCAAATGTATGACTTATGCTCCATGTGGGGTAGATTTTTAAAAGACTAGTCAATCTAAGCTCTGAACTATTAAATGTTGAACCATTTTATATGTCATGTATATTCCTAAGTACCATACTCCCATATTTCTGTTATGAGCATAAAGAGAGATATTTGGTGCTTCCATGCCATAATAGCCATATCCATCACAACCATTGAAATAAAGGTTCTAGCAGTATTTCCAGGATGCTCCCAGAAGTTTAAATTATCTCTTAAGTTATCTATCTTAGGTTAATATTAGAATACAAGATAAGATAATGTTCTTTTTTACTATTAGCTCCAAACCAAGAGTTTGAAAATTTATTTTGAAAATACTATGTTTAGAATATAAACAAATCTTTTATTTATTCAGAAAAATTAAACTCTGGTTAACTTGGGACTTATGTTCTCTGTGACATACATTGAGGGATTTGGCTCTCTTTTGTTTATTTGTTTTTACTAGTCAATTATTCCTTTGGCTGCTGTACTTAGTCTGTTGGTTATCTTCCCTACCCCACCCTCAGCTTCTGCAGCTACTCTGATCAATATCCGCAATGCTAGGAAACACTTTGAAAAGCTGGAAGGAGTGGATGGACCAAAGCAGTGTCTTCTTATGCGCTAAAACATTGCCAAATGCTGTTTCAGAAAAAAATTGGAATACTGTTTCTTAATCTTAATGTTGTATTAGTATATATAGGCTCTGAAATGTTGTGATGCTTATCACTTCTGTATTTCTTCCCTGCTCCCTAGTCTTAATGTTTAACCTTGAATGCTATTTACTCAAATAGCCAGTGAGGAGTTAGGAGATGAGCTGTTAATGAAGTTGGTGTGACATATAAAGTAGATGATATGTAAGTGTTCTGATAACAACGTTCTAATAGTGCAGGTGTTCTGTTAACCTGGTTCCAGTTGTTGTGTATGCCAAAGCCTTTCCCAACGTCATCTTGTATTCCTTACCAGAGAGTAACCTATATGTTTGGAATATTACTGTTTTCTCAGCATGCATTAAAAATATTCCTTAACTACAATTGTAAATAAACTTTTGCTGTTAGGGATTTCAGTGTCTGTTTTTCTTTTCCTTGTTTCTTCAACTTTTCCCTAATAAAGAGCAAATGAATTTCAGTTATCCTAGGGGAAGGGGACCTGCTATTTGGGAAATAGTATAAAATAAAGTTGGATAGGAAGGATGAGCCAAATGATAGCCTTAAAGCTAGGCAGAAGAGTTTTGGTACAATGTGATAGGAAACGACAAAGGAATGTTGAAAGAAAGTTAACCTATAGGCTGACTGATGGCAGTCGGAGAAGCTGTGGTAGTAATCCAGGCCTGAGGTGTGTTGAAAGTCTAGTTCAGGATGCAACTGGAGAAGGAATGAATAAAAAGTTGAGGGAAAATAGTGTTTATGAGATGTAAGTCTTCTTTCTATGAGGTCCAGGAATGGTTAATTTTATATATTCCATAACACCTGGTGGGATGTGCCTTCATTATACTAGTTAAGTAGTATTAAAACCTCTTTCAGGGCTTCCCTGGCGGCCCAGTGGTTGAGAGTCCGCCTGCCGATGCAGGGGACACGGGTTCATGCCCCGGTCTGGGAAGATCCCACATGCCGCGGAGCAGCTAGGCCTGTGAGCCATGGCCGCTGAGCCTGCGCGTCCGGAGCCTGTGCTCCGAACGGGAGAGGCCACAACAGTGAGAGGCCCGTGTACTGCCAAAAACAAAAAAACAAACAAACAAAAAACAAACAAACAAAAACCTCTTTCAGGCTGGGAGTTTATTTGACTTCATACCCTAAGGAAAAGGTGAGGCATTGTGAACTGGGAGGAATGGAGCTTGACAACACTGACTAGAACTACTCAAAGCCCTTTTTCAGTTTCCAAAGAACTGAAACAGAACACAAAAGCATTTAGGGAATCTACAGCAGAGTAGACTCATCTCAACTTTCTTGTCTCTGTGTCATAAAGAAACTTCTTCCAGACTGTCAGAACCTCACCTTTCCCCATCTTATTGTCCGCAATTGAGATAGGGTTTTTACTGAGCAACAAAGAACATGTTGTTTTTTAGGCAGTTTAACATTATGTAGATTAAAAATATCAATTCTTAAAAGAATCTCATTGGACTAATTTTATCAACAGTTGTATTAATCTTCTACAGAAGGAGAGTTTTTTAAGTAGGTGTTCCAGATTCTTTATCCTAGTAACATCTAGGAAAATGAAAAGAGCAAGTGAACCGGGCGGGTTGGGGTGGGGGCGGTCTGTTCTGTGACTAATGATTTGGCATGTTCTCCTTATCCTCTGTCTGGGGTAAGGTTTGAGGGAAAACACCTGAAAGTGTTTTTTTGTATTTTGGAAGGTGGATAGATATAGATAATATATTCAATTAGATAAGCACAAAAAAATAAAAGTTATATAATTACTCTGTTCACTCTTGGTCCAGCCCTTTCTCAGATTCTAGTTATAACTTGGACTTAGAGGATGTATAAAAGTATGAAAGGTTAGAAAAATAAGGTTATGATTTGACTTAATCCTTATGGTAATGAGCAGCCGGTCGTCTTTGTCACTGAAGACAAAAAAAAAAAAACTATTTTGAGATAGATATTTGTCCAAAGATGGAGCCACTTATAAACTTAAGTAAACACAAGTGGACAGTGAAGGCATGTACACGGAAAGAGTTGGAGAGAAGAAATCAAAACCAGAGGTGTAGAAATTACGAGATCAGTGATACAATGAACTGATTCTTTTTACAGGTCATGTTAGCTGTGTCAGTAGGATAGGGCAATGGTTCTCAAACTTGAACATGCATAAGAACCACTTGGAGGGTTATTGTTAAAACACACACTGTTGGGCTTCCCTGGTGGTGCAGTGGTTGAGAGTCCGCCTGCCGATGCAGGGAACACGGGTTCATGCCCCAGTCCGGGGGGATCCCACATGCCGCAGAGCGGCTGGGCCCGTGAGCCATGGCCGCTGAGCCTGTGCGTCCGGAGCTTGTGCTCCGCAACGGGAGAGGCCACAACAGCGAGAGGCCCGCGTACTGCAAAAAAAAAAAAAATAGTAATAATAACACACACTGCTGTCCCACCCACTACCACTGGTAGGTCTCAGGTGGGGTCCATGAATCTACATTTCTAACAAGTTCCCAGGTGTTGCTGATACTGATCCTGCTGGTCCACAGACTTTATTTTGGGAACCACTGCTTTAAGGAAAAGAAGACAAAATGTAGACCTGGAAGCAGGAGTGGGAAAACATGTGCTCACCAGGTTTGTAAGGATAAGTTGAAGGCATTATACCAAATAAGGTATATGTAGTTTATACCAAATGTAAAATAGATAGCTAGTGGGAAGCAGCCATATAGCACAGGGAGATCAGTTCATGCTTTGTGACCACCTAGAGGGTGGGATAGGGAGGGTGGGAGGAAGATGCAAGAGGGAGGAGATATGGGGATATATGTATACATATAGCTGATTCACTTTGTTATAAAGCAGAAACTAACACACCATTATAAAGCAATTGTACTCCAATAAAGATGTTAAAAAAATAAACACGTTAAGAGGTTAAAAAAAGATACATATAGGGCTTCCCTGGTGGCGCAGTGCTTGAGAGTCCGCCTGCCGATGCAGGGGACGCGGGTTCGTGCCCCGTTTCGGGAGGATCCCGCATGCCGCGGAGCGGCTGGGCCCGTGAGCCATGGCCGCTGAGCCCGCGTGTCCGGAGCCTGTGCTCTGCAAATGGGAGAGGCCACAACAGTGAGAGGCCCGCATAACGCAAGAAAAAAAAATAATAATAAAAAAATAAAAAATAAAAAAAAAGATACATATAAAAAAAGAGGTAAAAAAAGATATATATAAATCAGACCACTGATTCTCAAAGTAATCTAAAAGTTTGTAAAACACTGTCTTAGATAAAAGCAATGACTAGGTAGCTCCTGTTTCATAAGTAATGTGTTGCAAATGGAAACCATTGCTAGCATAGAGTATGGGTAGTGATTTGTGTAGGGACCTAACTTTTTCCAGTTTCAACCAGCTTTATTTGCTAACTTAATAGTATATCATGAAAATGTAGGTGGGTTGCAAATGAAAACAGTGCTACCTTTTGTTCGTATTTACTAAGTGTCATGTTGTAAATGCTTTATAAGGATTGTCTCATTAGTCTTTACAAGAACCCTATGAGGTAAGTACTATCACTATCCCACTTTTTAGATGGGGGAATTGGGCCTAGAGAAGTAAGAAACTTGCCCACATTTAAACAGTAGTGGTAGAGCTGGGATTTGAATTCAGGTATTCTAACTCCAGAGCTTGTGCACTTAAAACCTTGAAATTGTATGGCCTTCCTGAATTTAAGGGCCTTCTCAGGATGGAGAGTTTGAGGTGCATCCAGGTATGGTACCTAGCTTTGAGACTACCATTGTGTTGGCTACTATGGAAATAGTAAGCCAAATGCTTGTGAACCTGTATTACTCTTGTTTTCACTGGGGCTTTGCCACATGGGATAAGAAGCTTTACCACAGTTGGCAGTGAAAAGCAGAGTCAAATAGGAGGGGGAAAAAACCAAATCTCTAGCTTGAAGGATTTAGGTCAAATCTAAGTAGTTTTTCAGTATTTGTGGGTTTTCCCCAAGAATTGGACTACTGTGAGCAGTTAGTTATAGCCTCTACTTCTCTGAGGCCTTTTAAAAATAGGAGGGAAAAAGTTTGTAACTCTTTTGGATCTCCCACAGCAATATTTTGCAAAGGCCAGCTTATGATTTCCCGCTTAAATTCCTGACTTCCTTATAAAGCAGGAAATCAGTCAGGGTCTTCCTGCAGTCTTCACTAACAAAATTTCCAGCCTCATTGCATGTAAATGTCCTCACTGCATGTGATTTAGTGGAACATAATCAGCATTTTTTTCCAGGTTTATTGAGGTATGATTGACAAAAATTGTATATGTGTAGGTTGTATGATGTGATTTTTTTTAAGGTGTACAACATTATGATTTAATATACAAATACATTGTGAAACGATTACCACAATCAAGTTAATTAACACATCCATCACCCTACACAGTTACCTTTTATTTTTCTGGTAAAGAACACTTAAGATCTACTCTCTTAGCAAGTTTTAAGTATACAATACAGTATTCTTAACTATAGTCACCATGCTGTAATTAGATCCCGAGAACTTATTCATCTTATCACTGGAAATTTGTTCTATTTAACTAAAATCTCCCCATTTCCCACACCCCTCAGCCCCTGGCACCCATCATGCTATTCTGCTTCTATGAGTTTGACATTTTTAGATTCCACATATAAATGAGATGATACAGAATTTGTCTTTCTCTAACATCTTGCATAGCACTATGTCCTCAAGGTCAGTCTGTGTTGTCACAAGTGGTTACATTGGAGTGAAGGAGGCAGAAACCATACTCACTGGGCCTGAAGAGTATGTGGACAGTGATGAAGCAAAGCAGTGACAACTGCTTCAAGAAGTATAGTGATGTAGGGAAGAAAAGAGGATGGCAGCAATGTCCAGGGAAGTATTTTTTCATAACTCCTGAAGAATTTCTTCCTTAGGCTGGTCTTATCCCAAAAGAAATTTCTCAAAGTCTGACTAGCAGCTTCTGAGTGAAAGATTGCCTCATTTATAATCTATTTTCAATACCACATATATGCTCCTCTTGAGCACTTCTTGAAACTGGAAAGACCAAACTCAGTGTAGAAGAGAAAGTAGCCAAATTCTCACCCCATAAAAAACAGGAAACTGAATTTCTTTGGAGTAGCTCAATTGAAAACAACTAACTTTTGGTAGCTCCCTTCATTGTAGCTCCAGAACAACAATTATGATTTCCAACATTTATTGATTGCTTACCATATATTATGCACTCTTCTAAATATTTATATTAATTATTTAATCAATTATTTAAGTATATTAATTATATTGTTAATATATATTAATTCATTTTGTCCTTAAAATTCCATTAATTCAGTACTGTTATATATGATAAAACTGAGACACAGAGTGGTTAGGTTACTGGCCTACAACTCACACGGTTTGTGAGTGACAGAGCCAGGACTTGAATCTAGGCATCTAGTGT